TGCCTTCCTCCACTTTAGGGTACACATTACTGGAACAGCAAGAGAAGGGTGAGGAATTTCCTCCATAAACCAGGAAAAAAGGAAACACATAGGTTCTCGTCTTCAGTAGGGCCAGTTCTACACTCAGTAGTACACTGGTGGTATGGCTACATATAGCCAACTTATTATCACTGGCTAGATTACCCAGGTTACCATAATCATGTCACACACGGGCCTTTTATAACCCATCTATGCATTAAGATATTTTATTTGAGAAAGGAAGCTATGTTCAGTGTACTCATATCCCACTGTTCATATTTGATATTACTTTTGTTTTTTCTCACTTCATGAGGAGATAAGATAACTAGACAGACAGCATACACTAGTCAAGTGTTCCTACTGTGATTCAGCTTTCTTGGCAAGGCAGTGTTTGCAAGAGTATGGGAAAAAACCAGCCCTATTGTAAATGAAACAAGTGGTATGGTGAAAGCAGTTTCTCTGTGCTGACTTGGTGTCTCCACAAGGAGGTTGGCCAGCCTTGTCAGAGATGGCACGCTTCACACCCCTCACAGATAGCACTTTGCAGCGTGGGCCTGGCACAGAAAGCTATACTCGTCTAACTGTGCTGGCCTAGTCAAAGCAAGATGGCCTCCTCACTTTGGAAGCACAATTTGCATAGGAAGGAACAGCAGACTTGTACTATTCTTGCACAGGGGGAAAGTAAAAAGCCGTATCGGTATAGTCTCCTTTATACTCATGGAGCTTTGTCCAAATTAAGGCTTCTTCTAGCAGAACTGTAAGTATGAAAACAAACCCACATCCACTCCGGTTTCAAGGCTTATTTACATGCCAGATCTTAAATTTAGGGGACAGTTGGAGCATGTATGTTTGACAATTAAAACCAGAGTTCTGCTAGATAGGCCAAGATTGGGTTTATTTGTTAATGTGTGACTGATGTGTTCCTGACGTGTCCTGCGCTACCGGTATTTTGGACCTGAGATTAGAAACGGCACTTTTTGTTACCTCAATTTATGAAGGACAGAAGGCTTACTAGCAAGTACAGCAAAAGAGGGTAGGCTGAAAAAAAACCACATTCCATGCAGTTTTCATACTCTGAGGTCCCATGTCCAAGGAGTTCTCATGGACCTGGCAGCAGGGAACATGCTGTGAGCTTGCTGAGGTATTCTGGTAGGCTGTTTCTAGTGTGTATCTGGAAGCTGATCACTGGATACAACTAATATCCTTTTAAACATAAACCACCAGTAATCTGCAGAATTGCTGTACTGGGAAGCATTTAGGTGATTACTGTACTTGCCCTTCTAAGTGTTGCAGTATTATCCACGCACAGTTCAAACATTGGCAGGGAAATGTTCTTCTTTTTAACCTGGATGGACAGCTGGAGTCCAAAGTCTCCTTTGCCACCAGTTTTAGTATTGTGAATGTTCAGTGTGGTAAGAAGTTGTGAATCTAACCCATGTACATTTATACAATATCTCTCATCTTCAGTGTACACTGTGTTTTACATACTTCCTGCTGGAAGAAGTCTCCTATAAAGCTGCATGCTGGGAAGGGTATGTGAGTGCAAGGACTGAGTGCTTTTGCCCAATACCACTGGAAAGGAATTCTTCATTATCCCCTTTCTTACCATTTCCAATTAACCTATTTCCTGAGCAGGCTGAGATCTGCTCCTACAGATCATATCTCTATTTTTGTTGCTACAAATTTAAAAAGCCTGCATTTCCAGCAACTGATTCAATGGTTTCTAGTGATATTTTACTTTGGGGAGAGGGGAAAAAAAAAAAAAAGAAGAGAAAAGAAAAAAAGCTTTTTGTACTAAAGACAGAACTCTGGGACCCTGACCATCTCATTTGAACTGGGGGTTTCTGTGCCTCCTTACCAGTTTAGTCCATCTTCATCACTTTCTCTTTCAGCTCTTGTGTCCAGCTGTCTTACTCTTTCCATGTCTCTTCTGAAATACTTCAGTTGTTTCAAAGCCTGGTATTTTTGACAACATTGCTCTTCCTGCCTCCTAAAAAAAGAAAAATCCTTAAAAGTTAAAGCTGTGGTTTTAAACATTACCATATTTCTGCATAGTTAATTGGGAAGATACTAAGGAAGGCAGAAAACAATGAATGTGAAGAACACATTGTAATTTCAGTCTGTGTACACCAATAACAATTTTTGCTTTTACAGTGTTCCATATACATTCATATTTCTACAAAACTATTATAAAGTGTTTAAGTTTTATGTCAACTCTAGGCTGTAGGCAAATAAACTTCAGAATCAAAACATTTAAACCGAAATTCAACCTCCACTTTCTATCAGGTATCCACTGCTTAAAAAGAAACAGAATACTGTACAGTGATTTAGGGTAAAACATTATTTAAAATACAACAGAAGAGACGTGGAATAGAGTGACCTGAGCTAGAATTTTGACCTGGAGATTGGGCTCATGTATGCATTCCTACAAAAAGTACTACCATGTTATAAACATCTGCTTTTCTTTCCAGTAAATTACTTATACTATATCCTGCCAAACTGAGGCTTCATCTCCAAATGCTGATCAAACAGAATATGCGTGTGTGGCTGTATGGAGAATGGTACCATAGCTGCAAGTAGTAAGTTTCTGTCTGACTTGTCCTTCCATACTGCAGGATGCTGGAATGATTAGTTCCTTATGCAGTCACAGCAGCTGCTCAGGGCGGAAAACAAGGATCCAACTCCAGATAAGGAAAACTCTGGGAACAAAAAAGTCTAAGTACGAAATGGAACAGAAGAATAGAAAGAAGAAGAAAGGGAGAGGGGGAAAGAAAACTGTTCCTATAACACCCTTCAGAACAGCAACATAGAGAAGGATGTCAGGTCTGATGCTTACTGAGACAAAAGAATTTGCACAAACACCACAGATGAATGTTTCTGAGCGAAAGGGAAAGGCTGACAGGCTTCGGCTGGTCAACAAGGTAGAAATGTCACTGCTCTGGGAAAAGGCCTTGAGGTAGGACATTGCAACTGTTACTATGAGAAGAGTCAAAGTAACACTGAAGAACAATACAGTGATCTCTGAACTGAAAACACAGGACAGCCACACAGATTGGATGTGGACTGAATTTATTATTCTGCCTTTGGGTGAAAAGGACTACGAAGTCCAAAGTAAATATATCCAATGTTTTTAGCAAAACTATTTCCAGAAAAGTCATTCAGAAATATTCCAAAACACTGCTGTACATAGTTAACCTGTATTTTTTGTACACAGTCATAAAACTTCCTATCATTATCCCTATAGTCTTATTTTAATATCAATCCATACAAATGCATCTTTAAAAGGTCTGAAGACAAGTCCTAAATCTGGTCAGAAGCAAGGTGTGTAGTGTTTTAAGAGTACACCAAAACCAGCACACAAGTTAGATTTGCTTTCAGTAAGAGAGCTGATATGGCAGCTGCAACTACAACACCACAGAAAGCGGGAATTAAGATCTTGTGGTAACCATTTTGTGGTAAGCACCTGTGTTGCTCAGAACATAAAGCACTGCAAGCCTACATAAATTTTGAGGTGTCCTTATTCTCACTAAAAATCCAAAATTAATATAATTTACAGGGTTTTTTTAATTAATGAAATTTATGAAAGAATTTGATGAATAAAAAAAATTGTAAATTATATTAATTTTGGATTTTTACCATCTTTCATTCCAGTCCCATCCTTCCAGGAAAGTGCCTTTGCATTGCATTGAAATGTACTAAATGTGCTGCAAGGTTTCACTGGCCTGGTTCTGGTCTCATGTAATAAAATGCTCTCCGGCATTTGCATGCCAAATGCTTTCCACACAGAGCACTGAGTTTATACAGCATATAATGTGCTTCAAAAGCAGATTTGTACTCGTACCCCTGCCTTCTGGGCCTCTACTTCCTCAGTATTATACTCTCTTTGTCCTTAATGAGTGGCATGTTTACTCTGTAGTTCTGAGCCACTGGCAACAAACTGTAAGACACATCAAGGTTTAAAATAGTGTACACTATGCCTTCTCAAAAATGTGAAAAATTCTACAGCTGCTTATAAAACATTCTTAATATTACAGACTTGCTGGAGCTATCCAGGTACAAAACTTATTTCACTTGACCTCAACTCAAGGGGAAAAAAAAATAAATGCTTCAAAGTCTAATTGTAAGACTGGTTTGTCAAGTTGATCTTATAGCTGTGGAAACCACCACAGAACTGAGTAATGAGGGAACACAGCTAACATAAGCTTAGCTGGCAATGTTATAGAGAGACTACTGAAAAATGCAATGGTAGAAACAGAAACAATTCTACTCAAATAAGAACACTGCTTTTTCTACAAAGCTGCTGAAGCATAAGATCTCTTCTGTTTGCAAAAGCAAGATTCATGGGGTATTTTCCAGAAAATACCTACTGTTTGCACACCAGTAAAATGGGCTATGCTGCCACCCATGCCAAAAAATGTAAATGTCATCTGAATTCACTGAATGCTGAATTCAGTTGTTTGGGGGGGTGGGGGTGGAGATAGGAAAAAAGCAGAAGCCCTGTCCTGATGAGTTCCTTCTCCTAGTCATTCAGAAACCCATCAGGTAACATACCGTTGCAGTCCAGTCTTCTTAACCTTATCCTTTTGTTTACAGACATCTTTTGACACCTCTTCATGTGTTATCCGGATGACACTCTGTAGGGCTGATACAAAAAATTCTGTAAAAACATGCCAACTCAATAGTGCATTCCTCTCTTCCTTGCAGAGACAATGTCATATATGCTGGCTTGAATGACACATTGTAAAGAAACCTGCTATTTAGGATTTCTAAAAATTAAAGTTTCCTTCAGAAAAAAAAGCAGCTTTTTAAAGAGGTTTCAAGATAGGTACCCAAATATGAATGCACCCAATTCATTAATCCCTTTTGAAAACACAAGCTTTGTTCTTTCAGCTGTGAAAAAACCCAGAACCCATCAAGCAGAACATACTAAATATTTTTTACATTAGATGCTTATAAAATAGTGCATTAGAAAAACAGGTAGATTTGAACAAACTATGCAGAAAGTCTATTTTCAGTTCCTGTACTGTGCCGTTCACATTCTAGTGGCATAACTGTCTTCTGAATTTCTAAGTCTACCGTATCACTTTGCTATTCTTCTTTTAAATGTCACACAGAATTTAATACATTTAACATGAACAGGTATCTAATTACCCCTCTGTGTTTCCTTATCAGTACCCACCAAAACTTAAGACATCTCAAGTAGCCCTTCATTGGCTATAGTTTCCAGATTATCCACCTTTGAGCAGATCTCTCTCACTAATAACACTCTTTACTCTCTTTCTGCCTTCCACTGTAATGTGAATGCTTATATTCTCCCCTCTCTTGAATACCTGGAAAGCCAATTTCACTCACTGTTTTCCTTCAAATTGACATCTCTGTTTTTCTTCCCACTGCTGTTTCATTCCAGCCAAACCCCAGGAGAGACACTGAGACGGCCATCTTCTCTACATTATTCCCTCCAATCACTCATGCAGTAAAACAACTGTCACACTTGTTATTAAAAATTCCAGTGTCAGCTGTCAAATTCTAAGTCATCCTCTGAGGTGCTCAATATGTCCTACATGGTAATAAGTGACATTTTACTAAGCAGTCATCACCTTGAAGTTGTAATCCCCAAATTCAAAAGGTCTTTTTCCCCACAGTTTTGTGAAGCAGCACATATAGTAGAATGTAAAATGACTGCTGAACGTTGACTGTGTTAAATAACAGCACAAACTACTTCTGCTTGTTAAAAGTACAGATTTGAATATTACACTGTGAATTTATGAATGTAAGACATGGATGGAAGAAGTTGCTGGGCACCAGCTAATGGGCTAAAATTTTAAAGAACCATGCTTACAATGAATTTCCTTCATTAGTTGCGGCCAGGTGAGTTTCAAGGGTGCCAAGGTCCTGGTCAGAATCTCCTAAGTTCTAGCACTAACTAGTTCTAGTAGCAGCTCCACTGTGATCCTTACTAGTCTCAAAGTGTGAGCCTGCAAGATGCTGGCTATGCCACTGAACCTTCTAGAGCTCTAGAGCTGAGGAGCAGTTTGAATACAAAGATTGACCCCCACAGGGTCTGGAACCTAACATCGATATGGGCAGAGAGCCTTTGCTCAAACTGAGCTAAGGCTGCACACAAATCTCATCTGTTCTTGGCATGCAGGGTCAGAACCCTTCTTAGAAGAACCCACTCCTTTCTATTTATGGTTACCATTTGGGCAGATTCAGTAGCTGGATATCTGAAAGCCATCTACTCTGCAGATCACGGTGCTTTGGGGGAAGAGGGCTATACTAAGCACTGGCAGCATTTGATGTTTTCTCCAAGATCAGCTGAGTTATCTAAAGCCAGTCCTGAAAGCAGTCCTGTTGGCAGATTTTGCAGAGATGACAGGAAGCAAACCAGGGCTAATACCACAAAGATATAGCTTCTCTTTTTGGCTGATCAACAGAAACAGAGGACACAATTACCTCTCGGCCCTCCGTTTGTAGCATTAGAACCTGTTCCAATTCTCCATCTGGAGAAACTGGGAAAACAAATACTCAAGCTTGTCCATATTCATAATATTTTTGAAATACTAACCTCCATAGCTGTGAGCTAGTCAGACATTAATTAGAAAAGAGAAAAAAAGCCACGAAGAATGTAGTAATTTCACCTGACCTTGATTTCTATGCCTTAGTTAATAATCTGTGAAATCAGGTACTAGTATTTACCTGTTCTGCAGGGATCTAACAATGCTAAATCAATTGAAAAGACATTGATCAATCCAAAAGAAAAGCCCGAAAATTCAGGTATAAGTTTTATAATGAAGATGCTTTGCACAAATATTTATACCTCCTCTTTTAAAAGTATGGTTTTGACTGAGAATTCAAAGCTAAACTGCTGGCTGGAAAGCTTTGGGGATAAAATCCAGTTAGTGTTTAATCTCTCCAACACAGTTCTCACATTTTACTTCTCAGCGTGAAGAAAATGTATGTCATTTGAAATGATCTGCATACACATGTTCTTCATTTTACAGTAACAATGAAAAATTAGGCTTACATTTAGTACATTTAGATCATATAGTCTGTCTGCACAAAGAGAGATTTAGGTTTTTTTTAAATGCGGTAAAGGAAACAAGCTTAGAATACTAATCTGCTTTGTAAAACCTTTGGTTAGATAGGGACTGAATGATAAATGAAACTACCTCAGCAGTGACCTGTTGTTATAGCACAGCTGCAGGGACTGCAGCTTCCACATTTACCTTTGTCAACGTGATGTAACATTTAAACTTTTGGACCAGTATAGGTCCTCGCTCAGCCAACAGCATTGAAAAATCAAATTTGTACAAGCGGACATTCTACAGCAGCACTCCCCGAACAACAGTATCTAAATTAGAGTTGGAGAAAAGGCTTAATATTGAGTTATGAATTCCTACCTTAAAAGAAATCTTTCTGTAAGAGTCACACTCAGCTGTACCTTCTGATTACCCGTCTACTACGAAATCTCTTTCCCACTTTTGAAAAATATATATGCATACATGTGGGTTAGGGTCGTGTGTGCTTTTAAAATTATGTCTGTATGAGTTACGTGAAGCCTTGTGAATTTGGGGTATAAGGCTACAGGGCAGCTGTACTTGTAATCCATTCCCGATTTGTCCATGAAGCATTCTATAATCAGACTCCTGGATTAAACATGATTCTAGCAGATTCAGAACTCATTACAGAATCCAACCTTTGCTACAGAGCTGCCCTGCAGAAACTAACCTCCCATATTTTTTTAGAGCTAGAAACATAATCCTTGAGAGGACCAGACTGGTAACTCAGACCAGTCCCTTGAAATCACAGGCAATCATGTGATAGATGTTGTTCCAAAGGGTACACTGAACATCCTTCCCATACATCACTCATACCACAAGATACTTCTTTATGTCCCACACCAAATGGAGGCTCCCAGCCGTTAGAGCTTTCAAGATTATTTTCAAATCTCAGCTCACACACAAACCAATTGTTCACCTACATCTGCAAACAAATTACTTGAAACTATAGCTTTGAATTCTCCATTACTCCCATTCGTGTCATAGGAACGCCATTCATCTGTGCTCAGTGCCATGGAGAGCAGCAGCAGCTGTGTAGGTAGTATGACACTAGCGCAAGATTCCCGATATATCCACCCAGCTTCTGGCAGTCTGAACCTAAAGGTCTTTCAGACCCAGAAAACGTGTCCATTCTTTTACATTTAAAAGCAATTAATTGTTTTTTCTTCTGTTCATTTAAATTGCTCTTGGACTTGAATATACTTCCAGCAATATATTGCAGTAATGAATTCCTAACTTTAATCATGCATTGCACGAAAACACCTCTCATTGCTTTAAATTTTCTGCCAGATAATTTAATTTGGTGTGGCATAAATCTGCTGTCAAGGGAACTTGTGAATAACCACTCTCTAATCGCTTTTTCCCATGCACTTCGTGACATTACAGAGATCTGTCATAACCTTGTATTCAGACATTTCTTTTCTGCACTGAAGAGCCTTAGTCTATTTAATTGATTCTCATATGGAAACTATTCTGTATCACTACCATACCTCACCATTTTTTTTCCATCAAACTTTACTATTTCTGATACCAGTCTGTCTGAATTGGAAGGACCGGAACTGAGGAAGCACATACAAAACATCTGTATTTTTGCCTAACATGTCTTCTGCTTTGTCTTCCACTTCATTCTTAGGGTTCTTCTTGCCTTTTTGATAGCTACTGAACATTCACAGAATTATCGCAAAAGACTCCAAGAGCTCCTTCCTGAGTGCTAATTTAGAGTCTAGCAGAGCATGATGTCAGCCTAATAATGATAATATAAATATCAATTAAAAGGTAATTAGAGCACTAAATGCTAATATGCTTTTCTGGTCCTTTACTTAGGAGGGAAAAGACTTAAGATTACCTAGCTTTGTACTGAAACGCATTGCACAGCTACCAGATCGACTATTCTGTCAGGTCTATCAACCACAGGTAATCACTGATGGAGAACTAGGAGGAATACAGAGTAAGAAACCCCTAAGTTAGACAGATACTTATTCAGTGGATCAGTTGGTTACGGCAGAGAAAAATTTCACTGTTTTCACTGTCTGCTGGACCTTATAGATGTGGATGACAGTCTGATTATACAACTGCTGTAACTGAATATTAATTAAAACTCTTACTTAATACTCACATGGGATTATATTGTCGTTAACCCAATTTGCTAACAGGGAGAGCACAGAGAGACTTGTACAAAGTTCCATATGCCGGAAGAGAAACATCCTGGTACATATAGCAGTGTCTTTGACATAGGCTCTCCCTAGTAACACTGAAAGCAAACCCATTTGATATTGGCAGTCAAGAAAAGTAACTTACGAGGGAAAAGAGGTTGTCGGTCTTCATCTTGTGCTGACTCACTCATAACATCAGATGAAGCTACACTAATCTTGGTGTTGTCTTCAGAGCAAAGTACAGTGGAAGTTATGCTGCCACGAGGGGTTTGACCACAGGGAGATGACTGACTGCTAAGCTGAGAGATACCTAGAGTAGGTGTCTTGTTTATCTTCCTGCTAAGTGGACCGTATCGTGCTTTCCAGGTGAATTTCTGTACACAGAAGAAAAAATTAATAGAAAGGAGGGGTTTTCTATAGTGATTTGACAACAAAGAACCATATTTCTGTAAATAATTCCAATATTAGATCCTTCTAGTCCTCCTGTAACCTCATAGGTTTTTCTCCAGTGACTTCAAATGAGCTAGTGACTTCTTGGGTAGGACCTCCTTCATTTTGTTACCTTTCTTTAATAGTCCTCTGCTATAGCATTAAATGACAACAGATTAAGCTAATTTGTAAACGAGTAACACTGCAGCTGCAGAGAGAGTTGGTAATAGAGCAACTTTCTGATGTACAGGGAAGATTAGGTCAAAGTGGTTTGATAAATGTTCAGGTCTCCTCCCAACACACAATAACCTGGGAAATGAATTTCCCATGTCAGGAATGTAAAATTGAAGTCTGAAAGCAGACTGAATTCTGCAGGCTTGATAATCAGAACCGTATATATTATAGAGCAAGTGCCCCGAAGGAACCCAGTATTTCCACTAGAAGTTCCATATCAAATAGGAAAAGCAATCTTCAGGTAATATTAGTGTAAATGACAGAAAGGAAATTGTCACTAATCAGAGAGGAAAAAAAAAAAGTATCAGCAATATAAATGCTAAAAGACACATCAAGACTGACATGCCCTTTGGTTTCTTCTGCTCATGTTCATTTGGACCTGACTTTAGAGAACTGGTAAGACTGTATGGAAAAATCAAAAAGCTTCATATTTAGAAACAACTCTGTTATTTATGTGACTTGCTCACTTTCTCTCTCTGTTTGCTAACAGCAGAAGAATATTTGCATAAAACCATTGTCTTTGTCTTTTTTAAAAGTTTCACAACTTCTGCTGCTTATTCTCCAACAGAAATCATAATCTTCTGTTGAATCATTTTTATCATGAGAGTACGAACTGCAGGTGTTGACAAATAACAAGAGCAAATAGTCTGTGCGTAACAACAGCTTGTATTTCTAAGAGTGCCTCACCTGGGGTTCTCAAAGCACTTTACAAAACTTGTTTAATTTAGCTTTATAGGGGGCAAAGCAAAAAATTAAAAGCTTAAGCAAACTGCTGAAGATCAAAATGTAAGACGTGCTACAGAGTGAGAAACCCACTGGCTCTTTATTGAGTTCTCCTAGTTATACTCCGAAGCATCACTCATTCCCTCTTCATTTTCCTCCAGTAACTTCAGCAGTTTCAAAAAGAAAAGTCTTTCTGTGGTTTGAAAAAGACAGTAAAACAGTTACCAAGTGTTACAGATAGTTTTACAGTGTTTAATTTCCTCTCAGGTATTAACTTTATTTTTCTTTCAAAAGGCTTTCATCTGAATTGCTTGTTTCCTCCTTTCCTTGGCTTTGCTTTGAATGTGGCAAGTGAATCCTGCTTTCTTTAAAGGCCTCAACATTTGGCATTTGTTTCCAAATTTAGCTTTAAATCCTGTGTAAAAAGGCAACCAAACAATGACTAGAACTTACTAGAATAAGACCTCCAGGATACCAGACTGAAATCCCCACTCGACTGAAAAAGACCTATTTGTATTGAACAAATGCTGCTATGTGACTCTGGGTCATAAAAAAGGGAGCAAATGCAAACAAGAGGGTAGTTATGTTTTAGCCAAATATTTACTTTTTCCCACACCAGTGCTTATCACTAAGACCAAGCCCCAGTTTCAATCAGCTACACACTGCTCTTCCTATTACCTAGTTTCAAATTGTTATTCTGCAAAACCTAGACAGACAAGTACTCTGCAGTCACAAGATCCAGACCATAAAATGCAGTATCATGGAGTTCAATTAAGCAACAAAACAAATGCTTGAACAGTTGGATTACATCCCAAGGAAGAAATTAACAATGAAGTTACCTTTGTGTTTGTAATAAACAGCTCCCACATGTATGTTGCTAACTTTTCCTCTTTGATTTCTTTTACTGTTTTTTTACAAGCACCAGGGTCCCTAAGGGAAAACAATTTAATTAGTTTTCCATTTTGGAGTCTTGCTTTTATTACAAGTTCTTTTAAGAAATGTAATAAATAGAGAGTAAACGGTGGCTGACTGCTACCATGATGTATATCTTTGCTTATAAGAAATGGAAAGAAAATGCGAGGTGTATAAGCTGTGAGTAAGTTATAGTCACAAGTGAAGAACCACGTAAAGAAGTAATTTTACAAACTATCATGCATGTACTGGGCCAGATTATGCTCTCAACTTCCTCTGTGCAAGTACTGAAGAATTTTATCCAGTATAGCAAGATTTCATGGATAGAAATGACAGCAGGTTCACACAAGTTTGATTTTTTCCATGCTATTGTCTAAATGAAGACCTATACCAGTCCAAAAAGTTTAAAATGTTACTTAACATTGACAAAGGTAAATGTAGAAGCTGCAGTCCTTGCAACTATGGTATAACAAGTGGTCACTGCTGAGTAGTCTCATCTATCGTTCAGTCCCCACCTAATCAAAGGTTTTACAAAGCAGATTAGTGTTCTAAGCTTGCTTCCTTAACCACATTTAAAAAAAGGAAAATATCTCTTTTTGTGCATAGACTATATGATCTAAAGGTAAGCCTAATTTTTCGTGGTTACTGTGTAATGAAGCATGTGTGTATGCAGATCAGTTCAAATGACATTGAGGGAGAGGAGTGGTGGTTAGAGACAGCAACAGAGAGCAGATGAAAGTATATAAGAGACTGCACTGCTTCAGAACCTGGAAATGAATCCAGAGCTTTATGCATTTATACTCTGCGGTCAGCCTGTATCTGTGGGACTTGCTGACAAACTGTTTCTTTTATCCCAGTCTACTGGTTGGTCTTCATATGTGAATGGGTGAAAAACCCATCTACAATGCATACTGGACTGATTCTCTCCTCCAATTCATCAGGCTAAGTCTATATAACACTGCTCTGCCACCTCTGTTATACATAGGCACAGCTTGTTTTGACTGAGAATACACAGAGCAAAGAGAACAGCTCTGAAGAGCTCTGCCCTGCAAATCAGAGTATAAACTGTTCACTGTTTTACCAAACACTCATGAATAATTTAAATACATGTTGTGTCAACATGATTATATTGACTAAAAATGTTGGGAACTTAAATGAATATTTACTTTTAACAGTATAAAAGTTCAGAAGCAATGGATCTTTTACACGTACCCATCATTGTCATACATAATTGATAGAATACAACCAGCTACTAAATATCACTTAATCACTGGCTTTGTTCTGCAATTATAATGTATACGGAATCCCTGTTGAGTTCGCTGAGATAACCCTCCAAGGGAAAGCTATGGAAATATACATACATCTATTACTACATGTATTTAATCTGTATAATTATTAACAAAAGACAAAAAGGAAAGAAAACACAACTAAATTTGGCTGAGATAGCTCAGTATTTTCTCTTAGTTCTGCAACTTGCAATGATAGAGGACCATGCTGTGCTACTGATTTGACTGTACAACTCCCTGCTGACTGCATGGGGGCAAAGTCGATGCAAAATTTGTTTATGTCGCATGGTACAGAATTAATAACATTTCACTCAAATAGTTATTACTTGAAAGAAGAGAAACAAGAACGTATAAAGGACAAAAGATTCCAAACTCCTCATTCCATCTACTATCATGCATTGTGCACATACGCTGGATTCCAACAGGTTAATATGGAATGTGTTGAACTGTTGGAATCAAGAGTCAAAGCTTCCAAAAGCCAGTGTATGGCACACAGTTGTCGGAAGAGATGTTCACTGCAAAGAGAAGAAACAAATGTGTTATAGTATAGACTCAGGGAAACAGTCAAACTGGCATCATGTTGGCTGAAATAAATACATCAAAGCATTTCTGTAGCAGATGATTTTTTTAATTGTCTCACTGAATTCTAGACACTTCTCAAGGTTTTTGTAATGTTGATACATAACTCTGAATCCTGAAAGCATATTTTTGGATGTGAAATTTTCAGTGGACTTAATCTTGGTGATGTGCTCAGTGCTTTCACACCTATGAGGATTCTGGCATTTATCCCTTTATGGTATGGATTCTTCTGTGTTTTAGATTCTACAGTAGCTTCTAAGTTTTGCATTTAAGAAAAAAGCAGTGTGCAGGTTTAAAATATTGGACCCATCTCTTTCTGAACTAAGATTATCTTTGGCATTTTAGCTTATTCCACACGCAAATGTAAATATATAAAGGCACTTTTGGTGAACAATTGGATTAATGAACTTAGAACAGAACAGACATCATGTATTACTGACTAATAAGATATATAGAAGTGTACATGAAGTACTGTCTTCTCCCTCTCTCCTTTGTAGGCCTACTTTTTTTTAACTAGGCAAATTAAATTTTAATTTTGACAGCCTTTCCTTAAAATGAGCCTAATGTTGAGAGCTATACCACATAAGCAAATTTTATGCAACATAGTCAGAACTTGCCAAGTCAAGATCAGCAATGCAAACGATGTGTTTGTGTACATGCGCACATACAAGGTTTTCAGCAACTCATTAGAATTCAATCATTTAATGTTAGAATTTAACAGTTACTATTAGTAACGACAGACTATTTCACCATGAACTCCTGAAATTATCAGGATACATGTTCACCAGCTGAACAGTGGCTCTGGGTACATGTGTTAGGGGCCTGTGTTGCTGTGAATTTCGCTTATGTCTTGCCAAGGAGGGTAGGACTCAAATCTGCCTTTAAATATACCTTTTTGCTCCAGGGGGGCTTGGAATCAAGACACTGCTATAAACAGGAGTGAAAGACCGTAAGGTCATCTCTTTTTTCTTCTTCCCTGACTTCCTCAAGTGGTTGCCTTCTGTTAGAGAGCAACTGTGGGAAAGGACAAAGACTGAAGTTAAAAAAGGAGTATATGAAATGAAGACAGAGCCAATAAAACCATTTATTGTGTTCACATCACCACACTCCCTCTTCTCATCCTTACATTAAAAAAAAATTCTTAGGTGTATTTCTAAATTGTTAACTACTGCATTTAATAGCATTTATTAATATTACAAATCTGATATTTATGTTTACCAGGATATATAATTATTGTTTATTTCTAGTATGTTTATGGTACTTTATAAATTATAAATATGGTATTTGTATTTACATATTTATACTACTACTTACTACTAGCAATTAAGCATTTACGTAACATCAAATTTGGGGGCACACAAAATAGCACTACTGATTTGTTTGAGAAAAAGATGCTGAGCTACTGCTTACATTCCATTACACTTGTTTTCTGTTGGTATCGTGCCAATGGAGTCAGTAGGATTATATACATGAGGCCAAAGCTTCAAAATGTGCCTCAAATTCTGTTCAGTTTTTCCTAGGTTAATCTTTATTGTTTTCTGTGCACACAGTATGTCAAGCAGAAAAGATTCACCTCAATGAAAAAAAAGAGTCAAATGCTGGCCAAACCAATGTAACAGAAAACTGAGTTCTTTATAGGCTTTGGGGACTGTTTCTTCACTGCCACAAGCCTGTTTGGCCATTTACACCTGTGCAAAGTGTTTATAAAATGCTACCAAGCAAGAAAAGGAAATGTTTACAGCTGTTTTTCCCAAATGTAAATAACTATCTGCACTTGGTGTTAGACAACAGAGATTCAAGCTCAATCAGCACAGTGAGCTATCATAGCCTTCATATATTGATAGTATACAGAAGATAGGAGGTCCACACAGAAAATATAACATGAACTATTGTATGCTGGATGATAAATTAGAAAAAGACTGAAATTATACTGGCCGTAACAAAATAGCTGAGATGCTAACTGAGATCTGAGTGGTGGGTGAGCCTTAAAGCTTTATGCAGATTTCTTTAGCAAAGACTTTCTAGATGAATGAATGATTGATTCTGGATTAATATTTCCTTTCTAGGTCTGAAGGAGTTTGGGGGTGTCAGTTTACTATTGCGTACTATAAAGTAGCAATAGATGCAACAAGGGTTGAGGAGTGTGTGCCCCAAGCATTCCATTGATACAGTTACTGCTTTGCTTTAGAAAATTGTAAACAGTACATACCACACTGGCACGGGCATCTCAGCACTAGATTTAAAGAGAGGTCAACATGTCTATTTTCTTCAGCTAATGAAGAAATTAATAAACTTGCGTATTGTTTTGTCTAACAAAGGAGATATCTAACAAAGAGGTAAGCTGGCAGGCGTTCCTGCTATCCCAAAAGAAATTTCTTACACAAACCCTCAAGAAGTGGTCTTCATTCAATCTCAGATAAACAGTAACCGCAAATTTGTACTTATTAGAGATGATTGGGCACATGAATTCCACAGACTTCGTTGTTCAAAACAACATGTCTGTCTTGTGCTTCCTCAAATCACACTTACAATTTTCTCTTCCCTGTAGTCCTAATGAACAACAGAATGCCAGAATAGACAGTTGAGACAACCGTATACACATTGAAGTATTTGACAGAGTCCATATTCCTACTAATGAGGGATAACTAAAACTTTACTTCTACTTTGTCTACTGTTATGATAAGAAGCGGTTACCAAGTTTAGAGTGTTGATACATTTAAAATAGTTGAAAACACAATTAAATGCTACAGCTTAGGCAACAGCACTAAAAAAGTCCCAGTAGAGGCTTAATATTTGTCTTGCAGGGAAAAAGAGGAAGGTGAGTGGGCAAGGTCTACTGGAATCTGTGCCAACAGATCCGACAGTTTCAGCCACTGTGAAAGACTGAAGCCAGACATTAGCTGTTAAAAAGACACTTTGTGCCCAAGCAGTTTAATGCTGCTTCAGAGCTTTTCTTATTCCGTGAAGTTCCTGATTTTTGAAGTCAGCATTGTGAAAGCTAGGAGTGAAGTAAGTCTCCACAACAGATAGTGATCGGTATTTTGTATCTAGGCTTTCTTCCCCCCTCCACACTTTTACACTGTTTAAGACTGGAGAGAAGCATATGTATAACAGCACACAACTGGAACTAACAAATACTGGCAGGGTTCCTGCACATGTGTTAAGTCACACGGGACAAGTTGAACGAGTAAAGGCACACCTGCCAAAGCCACACATTTCTTGTTTCACATATGTTTCATTGTGTACTCTTGTCCCACCCAACACATCCTAGAGTTGACAAAATTCTCCATAAGACTCCCTAATTCTGACATCTGATCATAAGTCTAATGATTTCCCTCTTAGAAATGTTGGCAGATGCTAGAGGTCTTTCCTCTAAAAATGAAGTTAAACTCTCAATTAATATTCATTTTAAGCGACACATTGAAAATATTAAAGGATATCAGGTTTACACTAGGAGCTTTAGCTAGTGTAGATTTTTAGGTTAGTTGTAAGATTTTATTAAAAAAACGTTACAACTGGCAAAAACCCTGGTACAGATGTAGGATTAAAGTCGCTTTGTCAGTATTCACCCACAAGCCTGGTATACTCTGCACCACTAAAAGCTTTTTTTTACTGCTAGGAGAAGCTGTATCTAAATGAAGATAATTTTGCCCATGCAGGTATACCTCATAAAGGAAAGAGGAATATTAAATCTTTTTAGGTCAGCCTTGCTGAAGAAAGAAGCCTTTCCTTACAGAAGAAAATAAATGACTTCAATAATCTGAATGGTCACAATAATAAAGGCAATGGTATTTTTCATACATGTGATAAATTATTTGTCTGCAATAAATGTAGATTAGCTGAGTTATGGGTAGATAGAACAGTTACATATCAAAAAGACTAATAAACATGGAGTTTACAAAAAGCTTTCAGGGACGCTCTTATGTATTCAATTTTTTTAATTAAATAATCTTGTTTACCTAAAATATTCAGGTGGCCTTCATTAACCTAGGATCAAAGTGCTTCACAGTGCCATTTAAATTCAGTTGTAGGTGACTTGTTTAATAAAGGAGAAAGTTTTAGATGATGCAGAGGCTAAGATTCCAAAATACTTTGACTAATACCCTATACCCCTTTTCTCCTTCCATAACACTCGCAGTAATACTCTATTCCTTTCCCACTTTTTCTAGCTATTCAGTTAGTGACCATTTAGAATGGTGGATATTAAACGTTACTCTACTAAATATGATACTTCCCTGTTCAGAGTCTCTCAGCCTGTCTGTGCTAGACAGGGTTTCATACTAACAGGAAAGATTTTATTTCTTATTTTTTAATAATGGTTATACGTTGTCCCACTTTATGACTAGGGCTTGATTGCATTTCAGACGACTCTGCAGACTGAGTCTTCCAAATTGAGAGCTGGTTCATGGAAAAAAGGTGAATGAAAGGAAGCTGCTACCTGGGAGTGACAAAAGCCACAGCAAGCTGATGAGAAAAGACTGTTAGAGATTGATGAGCTTTTGATGCAAAGGTGATGCAAGGCTCCAAAGGGGTGTAACCTCTAGCAGAGCTACTCTGTGCTGCTGAGCAAGTATTTAATCATCACCCAGTGAGGGCTGACAAATGGAAGACAACTACAGCATTACAACAGCCATTAGAGGTGCACTGAACAGACCAGTGTGAGCCAAAGGACTGAAGACTATCTAATGATCAAATAGAGAGAAAACGTGAAGAAGATAGTAAGTAATAGATCTGAACTAGCAAAGAAACCCAGTCTGCAAGCTAAGCCACTTATGGTGCTGAATGCAATTCTTTTTTATTCTTAATGCCGTGGTCTCATTGTGGGAACAAAAGCACAGCACAAACTCACCAGGCCTCCTCCTCTTCTCATCACAGAATCAGTTCTGAGTTGGCTATGAAATCTCTCCTGAGTTCATTAACCTTCTGCCTTCTAAACTCCCTCCTTTTTAAACAGCATCTCAAGCATTTTTTCTTTCCATGCTTTCTAAGTTTACATCTGCTCACTTACCCAGACTTTAAGCATTTTCTCTTTCTAGCTCACACAAGTAGTAATATTCTGCCTCAATACCAAATAACAACAGAAACTGGAAATTATCGCTTTTTAAAACCACTGACCTCAGACCACCAAAAGCCCTCTGAGCTGACTTACGTGTTTATTTCTTCCTCTGACTCCTCTGCATCAGAGGAGTGTTTAGGTGGCTGGAACTCAGCTCTCCATCTTGTGCCCTGAGCCTGCGGGGCTGCTTTCAGTGTGTTCTTCCTCTCCGGTGATTCTTGGGGAAGTATAGGAAAGTGTTCTCCACCTTGCTTCACAGAATTGATATGATGCCTGCCAAAATCATCACAAGTTGGTCAGTGTACCAAAGACACATTATCAAATTAATTTCTCTGTTGCCCACCAACTTAATTTTGAATACAGAATAATATGAAATCTATGTTAAAGAGTTCAATGTTAGTATTTCCTTCTGCAATATGACGACAAAGGACAACAATTCCCCATATGAAGTGGGAGACCTTTCCCTTCTCTCTTTTAGCACTGCACAGGTTAACTATTACATGTCTTGAACTCAGCATCACTTTGTCTAGTACTTGATTTAAAATCTCCCTGCCCAATTCTGATTTATAGCAGCCAGTTGACCACCAAGCCCCATCACTGTCTTAACTCAGTTGTCACAGCCTGACAGGCACTGCCCTGAAGCTACCTGTTAGCTGCTAAATTCCACTTGCTGTCAGAAGGCTGCATTGTTAGTAACAGGGAATGTGCCAGTGAAGCCTGTGAGTGAGCTGAAGACAACAGGCAGGGTATTACTGCAAAAGAAGAAAATAAAGAAGAAACCATAATGCACTCCCTGTAGGATGACAACAGAGGTTAAAAAAAAAAAGTGAGCTAGGGCAGTGAAAGGGATATGGCACACAATTACTCTACAGCCTTTTATTAAAATGTTAGCAAGAACATAACAGCTGATCCAAGTCAGACGAGCATACTATCCAGGCACAGGACACATCCCTTTACGTTAATGTGTGGCTGACTTTTGAATTGAGTGTCATCAGGCTGTATTGATTCTTTCAAACACAATCTAGGTTTGAAAACTGGGCCTCATTTGTTTTACGGACAATAACTCCCTTTACTTAACAGACATGTATTAAAGCACCTGAAGGTCATGTAGTGTGCAAATTTCAGGCATTGAATTCACCAGTTCTCAAGGGAAGCATTTATTCCCTCTTTGCTTCCCTTGATGAAAAAATGAAAAACCACTTGTACAATTTAATGGTTTTGGGATTGGGTTTTTGGTTTTGTTGACATTACTTTTTAAGTCCAGCAATGATAAATACAAGCCTGAAAACATTTGCAGTTCAGGTAGATAACCTGTCTGCTAGATATTTCTATACTAACTTTGGAAAAAGAAAAAAAAAAAAGGTAAGAAAATAAGATGTCTGATAAAGAAACACTGCATGCTTTAGAAAACCATAAGGATTTCAGAGTTGTGTCAGACTGGCTTAATGGTTTTCATAAGAACCTAGTATTTTGCATAACAGACTTGTCTTGGAATACTAGAAAATGTTTAATGACCTCAAATTCTTGCTTTATGTCCTTTTCCAGTAGTTTTCTCTCTCTCCTTTCTGCCAACTATCAAGAGATTTGTACATAAAAATATTTTTTCCCCTTCATAGTGCTTTTTCTATGTTTCTAGCATGCACTAACATAAGTATTCTGTCTTAAAGATCAAAACCCCTGCTGCAGCTGTATATTATAATGCTATATATTCACTATAAATAGTGAACAATGAGGTTATAACATGAATCAAAGAGAAGTGGTAGAGAAAGATAATTAGAAACTAGAAAGTTCTTTTACACTAACAGCCATAACCAGTATTATTGGAGAAAAATGCATAAAGGGCAAGTACAATCAGTACTTTTTTTAAGGTTTATCTAATACAGAAGGCTTTAATATGTGTATACCAAAATCAATGATCACTCTCATATACCCACAGGAATAGGAAACGTTATGCACACTTGTGAATGAACATTTTTAGTCTATGACTTCCTTGAAGTCCCAGGTAAAACAAAAAGTAGTTCTACAGTCTCCAAGTATGGAAAAAGAAATAAAACAGAATTAACAGAAATGCAGCATATTAAAAAACTGTAACAACTACCTAATTTAAACAAAAAAATCCTCTCATAATTCCACAGGATTATTTCTGGAATATTTACGAATGACCCTAAAGGTTCATGGACTCTTGTCAGGAAAACAGTAAAATAAATTGAAACTTAAAATACAGAGGTGACCAACATACTTTTCTATACTGTAGATTTACAGTACATTGCTGGAATAGGACATCAAATATTTCTCCATTTAAATTCTGGCATCATAATACCTTGTTTATACAATAACTTAAATAAATTTAGCTTGGCTGCCTATTTGACAAGTAGGTGAGAATCGTTCATTAAAATGCAAATGTAATTGAAATGAAATTTGGAATACGTTTATTAAAGTAATTGAGCTTCAGTCAACTGTAGTCACAACACAGATTTTCAACTGCCATTCAGACAAAAGGATTTGTCTTATTTTTCTAAGTTAATATCTTTATCAGCATGAAAATTAAGAGAGTTCCCTGAGCAGTAATAATGTACCATGGAATACTTCAAGTTTTCTCTACAGGAATATCTTTTTATAGATAAGGGTCAATGACATGCACAAAGGAGGGACCCAGTAGTGTACTACACATACAGAAAACTGGTTGCAAGCATATTTTCAGCGCTTAGTGTAACTATGTACTTAAACTACTCTTTAAATCCTTTAGGGACTCAAGATCATCAGTTAATTGTAATACAAGGCCATTAAAGTATTGGGGAATTGAACTTATGCTAAGGATTTGGGATTCTTTGTGCCTTTCTTTGAGTAAGAAAGGACTCACAAAAATAAAAGGAAATAATAAATTTGTCTTAATGTTTTTCTAGCATCTAAATTATAATTAAGAAGCTAATATAATAATGCCAGAAACCTTTCCATCAGGGTAAAGACAAGCTAGATATTTACCAGTCATTTTTAGGTTCTGTTTAAATATACCTTGTTTAAGTACACCGGGTCATCTTCACTAAATTCAAAGGACTCATACTAAGGATGTATTTGTCCCAGAAGATCGAATTTCACAGTTAACAACCTCACATCTACTGTGTATGCAAACAAATCCAGTGGGAGATGGCTCACTAAAGGAATGACATGCACTCCTGAACACATGATGCCAAATCCTTGCTCAGTTACGCTGGTATAACTCCAGCCTGAACAGAATTGCTGGAAAGATGGGCAGAAGGCTGCACACACATGTGGCTGTTCCTCCACTAAGCAAGTGTGTTCAGTGCAGTGGGTGGTGTTAGCAGGGTGCTTCAATATCCTTAACTCTTGCTGCTCCTCTCCCTCTGTCCCATGCCCTGAGGTGCAAAGAAGTCGCAGTCTATTTACACCAGCTTGATTCTCTCTCTCCAAGACTGAACATCATGTTATCATCATGGTGAACAAATATGGTGAGCTGTAAGTAAAATAACTATGTATCTATCAAAGAATTTAGCTACATGCATATTTCTCTGATCATGGAAGTTGTTAGCCATTTTCAAAAAATTGCTTATTTAATTTTCTTATCTTAACGGATACAGCCTTTGTATCAATAAAGCTAATGACAGAACATCTCCTGCTCCAGACACTATATAGAAAGAATTTTGCATTTTCCAGAGGCTTATAGCCAATTGTAGATATAAATGAAACCAATGCGGCCTTGCTCCGAAAGCCACTGAGAGCACAGGCTTTCTAAATGCCATTTCCTATATTTTCACAAAAGCATTTTAATCTGCATCTGCAACAACTCCCTACTAGGCCAGTAAAAGCTCCTCTTTGGGCACAAGGCCAGGCCCTGCTGAAGGTTTTGCAAGGTATCAGCTGGGCACTGCCTAACTCGTTGCACTAGTGACAAATTGAAGAGGAGCTAAGGCTTCCCAAGTGAAAAGCAAGTGCAATTTTATGCACACTGCCACTTAAAAACATTCTGAGTAAATATTTTCTATAGCAGAAAAAGTAATACAACAACAATCCATTTCTGTATAAAACAGAAAGCACAGGAGGCAATAACTTTGAAACTACAGTAAATACAACTAAACTGTATTCTGAACATTACAGACTAAAACCATGGATTAAAAAAATAGTATAATTCTTCTAAACGAACACTTAGCATTATTTGCAGCTGTGCCATCATGAGCTATGATCCCATCACAAATCTCAAATGAGGCTGATAAGTATTTGGATCCTGAAGAATTCAAAGAAATATTCACTGAAGGAAGCGGTTAGAGCAGGAAGCTTGCTTCATTTGGATTGAACTTGAAATCTACACCCTTACCTAGTTTTAAGGGGCACTGGAGGATCTGTCTTTTTGGCCATATAATAAAATGAGAGTCCTGACAACCTGAAGTTATTAAGGATCCTATGGTAATCTCTGCAGAAGCACAGAACCTGCGTTCTCATCAGATTTCAATTGATTCAATGTTACTGTCCTCGCTGCTGTTTCAGTTGGAATAGGGCACTTTTTTTTAATCATTCCAGTCCTCCAAAATACTATGTTGTGTGTACACGTGTTAACACACAGACTCCATTTGAGCTGTCGTTGCATTCTAACAGCTGAAGTCATTCTTCTACATCCCTTAACTTTCCGACAAGGTGCTGTAACTGCTTTAACACCTAAATAGCTAATAATTGTGAAACAGCAGGAAATGCCAAGATAAAAGAAAATCCATATGCACACAGTGTTTTTCTTATTTACAAAGCACACACAAAACAATAGGAGAGCAAAATCTGCCTTACTTGTAAATTGTCAACAGTGATACTGATTTATACCAGTGGAGAATTTGTTCCATTCTCTTACCAGTAAATACTGGAGCTGCTGACCATTTTACTCACTTCTTCAGTGCTTTACCTTCAGCTTTGTAATGTATATCTATGCCAGTATGTCCCAAATTTATCTACGTTAATACTGCTTCGCACCTTTCCCAAATGATGTATGGCAATCTCATTGGAGATGAGAATTAGTGCATTGTTCACTTAAAAAATACTGTGAGTTACTACAGGGTGCAGAAACTACCAACAGCCATAGAGTTACATTTACATGGTGGTGAGCCTGAGCTAGCAAGTCCTACTATTGAGCTCTGCATTCAGGTCATATCCTGAAAGCTTAGCATGTAGACTGAAAAAGCTTGCAACTATTCACAATTAATATGTAGATAATAATGTAAATTAATTATGAATTCTGGTTTGGTAGTGTTTACAGCCAAGTTAGAGATGCAAAT